TTTCTAACACCTTTTTATCAAATAACCGTAGAAATTAGCGCGCAATCCCCAACTATAGGGATGGCCATACTATTCTACAATGATATTCTGGAGACTTTGAAAAATCAGGAGATAGGAAATTCTGACGTTTCAATAAGCTGCTTCATTAATGAAAAATAAATATGAAGAATATCGCCAATATATATTACCACCTCACAATTATGTTGCATCAATATTAGATCCCAGGATTAAAAATACACTTGTGGCTAATTTAAAGAAAGATGCAGCAGTTATGAATATGGATATATTCAAAGATGTTTATGCATAATATATCACAGATCCATTTGATGAGTACTCATTCAATAATAATAACAATCCATCTAACCTTAAATCTATTTCATTACTGCAGGGATTGAAAAAGAGGTATATTTGATTTTGATATAATTAATATAAATTATATATTCTGATTTTTCTTTTTAAAATTTTTCTCTTTAGAAAAGTATCATCAAATGGTGATAGTAATAATCAGATATTGACCTATCTTCAGGAACCTGTAGCGCCCGAAACAACAAATGTGCTAGATTGGTGGATAGGGAATTCAGATAGATTTCTTCATTTAGCTACGATGGCGAAAGACTTTCTATGCCAACAAACAACTTCCGTGGCATCTGAAAGAACCCTTTCTCTTGCCGGAAATACTATTACGAAATTGAGGAACAGGATGGCTCCCTCCACCCTTAAACAATGCATTTCATTATCATCCTGGGATATAGATATAGCTCTTCATGATGATATATGGTAAAATTTTTTATGCATAGTTGTTATTTATTTTTTAATATAATTCATTTTTCTAAATATATTTTAAAATAATTTTAAATATTTTTTAGGGATGGTATTATATGATGAAATCTATATCCACAACTACAAGCAGGATATATTCCTGAATTCTGATCCTGTTTATGATATTAGAAAAAAAGGAAATATTAATTTTTAATATTGTATTTGTATTCTATTGTAATATTAATATATATTTTATTTAATTCATCAAATTTTAAAAATAAATATATTTATACTCGTTCTTATGTGACTTTAATGAATTAAATAAAAAAATTTAATCAGCTTTAATTTAATACTCTTTAGCAATAGAGAAATTTTTACAACCCTCCCCTCCCAATCTTCCTAGCAATTAGTTAGACCAAAGAACCTTGATGGATAATAACATTCACAAAATATTTTCATTACCTTTCATGTTTAATTTTAATTTTAATACTGTAAAAATCTTCCTTATATAAAAATAGTTGAAATCTGAGCAATTCAATTATGAAAATAAAAATTTTTACCTAAAATGAACTTTTGGGAATTCAGTAAAAATTGTTCTGAGTTGTTTTAATTTATGTGGGAAAAAAATAGTATATGTTGAAGCACAAACCTACATGTATTGTTTTGCTATTCACATTCACACCAATGTTATTAATGCTTGAATTTTTAGCTATAACGGCTCACTCAAGAATTTTGTAAAGTTAAAATAGGTATCCTATAAATCCCATAAAAGTTTAGTTGAAGATGCGTAAATAACCGTAAACTAGTAATTATATAAAGCTTTTGCTCAAAACGCTCAATTTGCCAAATATGAATACTTACATAAAATTATTTTAGCTAAAATATTAACGGGCCGTTTTAAATATCGACCCAAATCAGGCTTTTTAACAACACTATTGTGATTAATGTAGAATAAAATAATAAAGCTTTTTTATTTATAATTAGAATAAGATTATTAAATAAGGTTTATAATTTTTCTTAGTTTTCCTTATAAAAATTTCATTTTTGTATATTTCGCTACAAAATCACACTAACTGTGATTAAAAAAACATGTTTACTCTACCCAAGTAGAGGCTATGCAAATTAAATTTTTATTTAGCCTGAGCCCATTGTAACTTATTCTAAAACCCTATCTCAGTTATTGATATATACCTGATTTTTAGGCACTACTAGCACCTTCCTCCTTTCTTTAGCCCTGAGTCTGAAAATATTTAAATTTATTTAACTAAAAATTTTAATTTTTATATTAATTTCATAGTATTTATCTTCTTTCGTTTATTCTCAGTAAGCTATAATTTTGGATTTTTTAAATTAAACCATAACTCGACCAGATATAAATTTTTTTATCCCGAAACTGACTTGCTTGCAGGGCTATATTATCTAACAATAAAAACAACCCCGTATCTTAACCAAGGGTCTGAAGGGTCCGACCACGGATCTAAACCAAGGGTCCGACCATGGGTCTGAGCCAAAGGTCTGTGCTCGGGGTTTGTGCTCAGAGTTGGTTTAGTCAATTTTTAGACCAAAACCCCGGGTCTTGGTTTTATACAACCAACCAATTAACAACACTAGTTTTAAGTGTGTTTGAAATTATTCGAAGAATATATAGCATTTTTTGGAACATTATAAACCATATTTAACCTTTTATACCATAGTTTGCATTCAACTAACAATGCATGGGATACTATAACATCCTCACAATAAAAATCTGCTTAATATTTAATTTTTTTTCTAACGAGATTTGAAATAGATTTGATAGGATTCTGCGGTAATAATATTTGCAGATTTGTAAGTGCTGCCTAATTAATTAAGAAATTTTCATTCATTTTAGTTATAAAAGTATTCATCAAGAGAGGGACAAAGAGTTTTATTCTATGGAATTCTTCGACTGACCCTATATTAATATTGGAACGATGGGTTAGCCTTGCTGCGAGTCAAGATAGATAAATAATAAATTCATAGAGCTCTGCTTTTGTCTCAACAATGACATAATATATGAAATTCACCTAATTTCCTTAAGTTCAGATATAATGCTTTCAAATATTCTCATAGTCTCAATCATATCGATGTCATTTTTTGATATATTTTAATTTAGTATGAAAAAGTTTCAAATAATTTGAGAAATTTTAAAATGGTAGATAAATATAACGTCAAGGAAAATTTGAAATCATTATTAATTTATAAAATAAATAGTAGGTATTTATTTCTGCTGTGATAACTAAAAGGCAGAAGAGCCAACTCTTACCATACCCCAAATTCATAGACCCTTTCAGATATTAAAAAATTTTAGTGATTGAAAAAATATTTTCTGTCAAACAATCTGATCCATCAAGCGGATATATTGAGCAACTTTTATGGGTTGGCTTGTGTGGCTTATCAGGTATGATTGGATTGGAGTTGTTTATCCTGGCTTCAAATTTAATAATATTAGTGTTGCATAGTAAGAAAAAAATCAGAAGTAATATAATATATTACTTTATATATTACTATATTCTAATAGTGCTGTATACGCCACTTCAAAAAGGCGTTTCGTTATGTTTGAAAGGAAATACGGTAACGGTTACTCTATACTTAACTCAATATTTTAGCCAGAAAATATGGCTTCCTCGAGATTTCGTTAATGTGTGACTAGACTTTTGTTTCTTCTATGAGCAAAATCTTCAAGCTTGCGTAAGATCTTTCTGAATAAAATATTGAGTTAGCCGTTTTAAAAAATCGGCTCAAAACAAGCTGTTTAACAATACTACATGTTACTCGCTATTTAAAAAAGGTAACACGTTACTTAAAAAATTATATCATAGATAAATTCCCATTTTATTTATTTTTTTCTCCCATAGATGATAAAATTAAAATTATTATATAATAAGATAGGATTTTTTTGTAATAATTTTTTATTCATTTTTATAGCCGCCATTAATAAAAAAATTCAGTGGGGTGATATTTTTTATTATTAAAGATAATATTTATTTTATATATTATTTATGAATATGAAAAATAATTATAATATAAAGTATACTTTAATTATTAAAAAATGTGATTTTATTTTATGCGATGACTTTTTTGGTGAAATTATATTACCTTTACATTTCATGAAATAGATAATAATTTTAATATCGCATTTTATATATTGGCTACACATCATGTTACTCAAGAACATACGGTCAAAACTATTCTTCCGAGAGAGGTAAGTTGAAAATTAATTCAATTTAGGGTCTAAGTAAATTCAAATGGTTATGGATACATGACACAATGTAAAGAAAAGTGTTCAACTATGATAATATTACCATCATTAATGTTTGAGGCATAGATTACATAATCTAGTGACAGTAAGTAAGATGGAATAAAAAATTTAATAAAATATGAAATCTCATTAAAAAAGTGAGAGAAATTATAGTTGCCTTAAGATTCAAAACAGTTTTGAAGATATAATCAATATCGAAAATGCATTTTATCGATATCATTCACATATTTTAGATCTGGATGATAATGATCCTCTTTTATAAGATTGTTTTGGGTTTGATGATGATAGTGCAAATAAAAAATCATGAGAAAAGACATTAAAAATTAAAATTAGATGTGCCAACACGTTGTCATAGTATTTTAGTAATACTAGAAAGTATGAGTTGCAATAACAAAAATCCTATAAATATTCTATTAAATAGAATGGAGAAACTGGATCCCAAATTATTTAACTCCGATTGGGACTTGGTGCAGAAACTTTTAAATTTTCTTAACCTTAAAAAACTGTTGAATTTTTATCTGCCCAAAAAGGATGTACTATAAATTTATCCTTTTTATTTTTGTAGTGAAATTATAAATTATTTAATCGCAAAAGAATATGATAGTCTTCCCATAGCATCCTTTAATCAAAATATGTTAAATAAATTTTATCATAGATTTCCAATAACGATCTTCAGGTAGTAATTTAGAATACATAAATTATTTATTTATTCATTTCTCCTTATTTAATTTATTTAGAAGCATTTTAGGATCCTTTTTCTTCATAAATTTATAATCTTAATTTAAAAAATTTAAGAGAAAAATTTTTGACACCACCACCATTTTTGGGGCAGTGACAGACTATAGTATATACTTTTTGCATCTGATAGTTTAAATAATTATGTATAAAGATTATAAAAAGTTAAAAATTGATCAAAACAAAAAATACATAGATTTAAAATAATCATATCTTTAATATTTACTTTTTTAAGAAGATATTCAAATATCAGATTTTCCCTTTTGATCTTCTATTTCTTGTAACTTTAAGGCAAGTTCCTTATAAAATTATTATAATGTCTGTAAAACTATTATTAAATTACATAATCTGATTGTTCATTATGTGAGCAAGGTTTTTGTAAATTCTAAAATAATATAAGTTTCATAATTATTAGACTATTTACAGAATTAATATGATCATGTTGCACAAGGTTCTTCTTTATACAGTTCCTATATTTAATAATAAAATATTTTACATTATTTTTAAACTTATTGTTTTTATTTGATTCTATTTTTTGCAATTCTTTCGCTTTTTTAGTATCTAGATCAATAATTTTTCGATTTTCTACCCGATTTATCCTATTTTTATCAAAAAGATCTGAAACTTTATTATAATTAATAAATAAATTGTTGAAAGATATAAACATTCATTATTTTGCAATCTGGCGGCAATAGCTTCATCTTCTTTAATAACCCATTTTTTAAAAACTGTAAATAATTACATCTTTGTTTTCAATATTATGGATAAACTTTTGCTATAATCAGTAGATGTGACCTCATTATCAATAACATTTTGATCCATAATTTGGATGAAAACCATATGATATAGGGGTGAATTAAGAATTGACAGGTAAAACTGACAGGTAAATTGAAAATAGACTGGTAAAACAGAAAATTGAAGGTAGTTGAGATGAGAATTGATGCTAATTTTTAAAAAAAATTGCCAAATTTCTTCTAAGTAAATTAATATTTTAGAAAAAAAAATATATGATCAAATTGATATTCGGTAGACAGGCAAATTTTAAAAAGGTTTTCGTCGGTCAAGTTGCCAACCTGTAATAATCTTACAAAGAAAATAACATAAATTTACTTAAAATTACCAGCTTTAAAAAAATTACAATACTTTGGCTAAAAAATACTTTGCATTATTTTTCTAGACCTGCTAAAAAATCTCCTTAATTTTCTTAAAATATTTTTTTCCCAGAATCATTATTTTATCGATAACAATATAAATATGTTAGCATCGAAAATATTTTTTTCCCAGAATCATTATTATATCGATGAACAATATAAATATGTTAGCATCGATGTTTTTAATGTCAATGTTTCATAATTTAAATAATTGTTAAGCGCGTTTTTTTAATTTAAATATATCTGATTTTATCAGAAATATATAATATACTAACGTGTGTAGAAAACCAACTTTAAGATTTTTAGAATTTTTTAAGAACTTATAGACATAGTCTGGGGTGAGTTAGAAATTATAATTCAAATTTTTACTTAAAAAAAATTGTTAAAAAAAATAAAAACTCAAAATTATTATTATTATTATAAAAATATAACATAGCCAAGAGTCTAAAATATGTGTTCAAATAGACCTCCTATAAAATTTTCATGTTGATTAAATCCTAATTACACCTGTATTAAAATAAATTTTTTATTTTTTCCATCAGGGTCGTCATTAGTCTTTACAATCTCATGGGGCTTAAAAAAAATTTAAAAATAGATTTATTACTTGAATTTGGTTACAATATTATCCCAGCACAGCAATGTAAAAATTTAAGAAAAGAAAATCTATTTGGATGGGAAATTATATTATTGTTGCATATCCTTTGTGAACACAAGACATTTAAACAAAATTTTAAATCAATAAATTTAATTTAAAATTTATTTATCATACCATATCAAAAATAAAATTAATTATATGAATATATTCAGGGCGGACTGGCCAGTAAGCCTAGTAGGAAAATCTCCCTATAGGCCTCGATATTTTACAAATTTGGGTGCCTCTCCTTAGCAAATTTGGGGGTCTCTTTAGTAAAGAAAAAAAATTTTTTTAAAATTGAAGAACAAATTTTAAGGAGTCAAATTTCTTGGGACTTTATTCCCCTTTAAGGCAGGGGGATTCGGGGGGGGGGGGGATTTCTAGTTTTTTTTCTAGGAGCCTTCCGATTATTATATTGATGTTGTTCAGTGTAAATAATAAAATTAAATAAGGAAGTTAAATTTAAAATTATATTTAAAATAACATAATGAAAAGGTTTCGCGTCGGAAAACCCGAGCCGGGGGTAAGACAAATTAAAATTTTTTGTCTAACTACCAAAAATTTTAACCGGCTGAGTGGAATAATTTATCACAAAAGATTTTCGGACTCTACTCCATCCAAAAAAGAAGATGGCCGCCCCGTTTCTTGAAGTAGCGCCCCTTTTTGAAAACTCTAACGAATAAAAAATAAATATTAAAGCCGTAACTCTAAGCAAAAAAAATACATCAAACAATTATTTTATCATTTTATAATTCTATTTTCGAAGAAATAAGGTAAAATTGATATAGGGGGGGATGGGAGTAGGACATGGAAAGATTTTTAACAACTCTATGTTAACCATCTATATTGACATATATGTATACATTAACAAAGATAGAATTTAGAAAATGTCCAATTCCAAAGAAATTACAGGGACAATTGAAATCCTTAAAGGAGGTTACAAGTGTCCCTTTGAAACACTCCCTTATCATTCTTAGTTCCTCTAACCCCACAAATGGCAAAACTCCCCCTCTCCTCTTATATTATATATTATTTTTTATAATAAATATTTTGCCATTGTTGATATTTTTATATTTCATTTTACATTTAAATATTACGATATAATGGTATTATATTTTTCTATCACTTATGAATAATCAATTTTATAGTTTTATAATTTAAATTTTTTCATGCTTATTTTATAGAATTTTAAAAAATATTTTTCTTTATGCTTGTGATAATAAATTAAATCCATTTATTTAAAAAAAAGTTTAAACATATAATATAATGGAGGAAGGAAGCAAGCAATCAAGAAAGAAAGAAAAGTATAATCAAACGATGAGTCGATATCATTTCTATTGAGATTAAAGAGTGATAAGCAAGTCGGTCCTGTGCCATGCAGAATCGTAAGTAAGTTTTCATTCATTTGAGCTAGAAGTGTTCTGCGATGCCCAGTAGTTGGAATGGTTAAGGTAATCCATAATACAATTGATATATTTAGTAAGACATGGAGTTTATGGAATTATACACACTAAAAATTTTAATTCAATGAAGTTGTTCTTGCCGATTAATATCGCTTTCTAATGTATCCTAATCTGTCAATAAAATATTTAATTGGAAGAATTTTTTCTTTAGCCCTCTTTCAGGGCGCATTCATCAATTTTGGTATGTTAAATAAGAATCCAAAATACTTTTTAAAAAGCTTTAGCTGCTGGGAACGTTCTTCCAACGAATTCCTCGCTTGATCTAGTAATGCATTATAGAATTCAATCTCTATTCTTTTTGAGGATAATGTATAGACGGGCCATCTCCATCGTGAGAAAATTGTTTTTGAACTTTCGGTCTACAAATGTTATTAAAGGAAAACACTTCTCTTCTAACATTTCCAATTCCTGCGCAAGCTCTTTCTCTTAGAAGGGAATTTTAAAGGCCGCTTTCCTTAAAGTAATCTTTAATATCTTGCATACTTTCTATAAGTGTAATGGCTCTTTCCAATTCAATATTGTCACACTGCATGACCTTGCTTATTAAATATATCTGGGTTAATTATAAAATCAGATGACAAGAGTTACCAAAAATAGAAATTGTCTTAATTCTTTAGCCAATGAAATGGATTCTGTGCAGTCTTTGGAATTATTAGCTTTTTCAGATACGTCTATTAGTTTATCTTAAATATCAACAACCTGATTTCTAATGACTTTTACACTCCCCATCTTACACTCCCATCGTGTTTCAGGTAACGGGTTTAACGTAAAATTTTTGAAATGATCTTTCAAAATTTGCTATCGTTGAGTCGAAACAAAAAAAATAGATTGTATATTGGACAACGCTAAAAAATTATTTTTGTAAACTAATGATTGACATAACACCAAGTAGCAGATTTAAGCTGTGTCAATCAGAAGCCATAAAAAACGCTCTCCGATTTATTTGCAATATTAGCTGAACTCCTTTATAACATCCTCTCATATTTGATTTTTTAGATAATGATAGAAATGCTTCTACCAAGGCCTGGCCATACTGGAATCGATTTTTAGAAAGCCAACAAATCGCTCACTTATTTTAACGGAGCTGTTGTTAAGTTTTAGGTATCGTATAACTACGGTTAATTATTTCTAGTAGCTTATGTCTGGTGTGCAGTCATATATTACGGAAAAATATTTAATAGCATTAACAATTTTTTTTCTACGATTTTCTCCTATCAAGTTTATTGAATTCGATTTCCAAGGTAATGAATGAAACCTTCATAATTAATGGGGTCGAATAATATTTTATTCAAATTTGGATAAAAAAATTAAATTTCTTGACTAAAATTAAATGAAATTTTTTAATACTAAAATATAAACCAAATTTTGTGTTATAATACATATGGCTAAAAATGCCAAACCTTTTCCAAAATTCATACATGGATTTTTTACAAAAAATAATAATGCCTTGCTTGTATGTATTATATACCAAAAAATATTTAAAAAAAATTACAAAATTTGGTGGCTCCTAAAATTCTCTAATTTTTTCGGCCCGGGACGGCTGCACCTCTCGACTCCCTCCGTCTGCACGGCCCTGATCTCTCTTCTGGACATTTTTAAAGGCTTTACAGATAAAAATATAAATCATATTGTGTAAACATTTACAGCAAATACCGTGACTACACTACCGTGAAAAAAATATAATTATCTATATACAGATATAGGATTTCAAACAAATCACTTCCATTTCTTCAGAACATTTTTAAAGGTTTGATTGATAAAAAGGAACAGATTTAAAAACTAAATTGATCATTTTTGTGCAAAAGATGCAAACACCCCCTTCCCCCACCCCGAGTCTCTTATCTTATAATTTAATACATCATAGTAAATTAGGATTTAATTTCTAACAAAAAAATCTGTCAAGTTTTCTAATTGGGCTAGACATCACTATACCACATACCATTTATGTAATAAAAATTATTTTTGTAAAGGTATATTAATAAATCAATGTTTGTTAATCTTAAATGTCGCTTAAAGGCTTTTTTTTAGGTTAAGAATATTATGTGCATTATAAAAAAAAACAATAATTAAATATTGAAATTTGGGAGAAAGAAATTATGAATTATTTTATAAACAGATGAGTATAAAATGAAATTAAGGATTTTTTGTTCTTAAACATTATTTTATAAAATGTCTGAAGGGTTCCAACTGAGGCTTGTCTTAACATCGATTGTGTGAATATTTCATTGTACGTACTTAAAATACTTACCTATAATTTGATATCTATCAAAGTTGACATCTCTGATGTGGTATATAATTTTTTGTTTTTAAATATATTTATCTATAAAATAACGAGTCTTATAACGATATGTACTACTTCATAAAATGTCGTTATTTTATTACTAAATCTATACTATATCTAATAATATTAGCATGTTCTATCGTATGTATCGTCGCTCGCAATATAGAAATTATGGGTAAATAATAAACGTTAATATACAAAAATATACGATTACTAAATTTATACTGATTTCATATTCATAGATATCACCACGAAAAATCACGCCTTGGAATTAGGTGTCCGAAATATTTCTTTTAAATTGATATCCCATAATTTTAGCCATTTTAA